TACAAAATTGTACATTTTGTCCATTTATTATAAATTATATTATTTATCACAAATAATTATATCGTTATATCAAATACTAACACATGTTTTGGAAATAATTTTAATTCATTTTCAACATTTAAAATAACGTAATTTCATTAATTGTTTTAAACTTATAGTTTGTTTCATTTGTTTAATAAAGTTTTTAAAGTTGTCAATAAGTATGATATAAAAGTATACAATAAAAGGTATTAATTTATTGTATCTGTTTATCGATAAATCCTCCAGTTTATGAAGTTATGACCACTTTTACGTTGATATTTTGCAAAAATAAGTTGTGTTTTTGAATATGAATTTTAAATAATATGAGTTCCATATAATGTAAAAAATTCTGTGATACAACAATCCAATCTATAAGTTTAATGCAATTAATTAGGTATAATCATTGAATATATTTCCGAAACATGTGTTAGATTTTGATATAACTTAATAACGATGTAATTAGTTATAGGATGTAATAAATAATATGATAATTAATAATAAATGGGCAAAAATGTACACATTTGTAATTAATTATAAAAAATAGTTAATTTGTTTTACAATAGGTTGGTATTGAAAATGTATAAATTTGTGAGTATTTGTTTCAAACAATTCAATACAAGTTTTGGTAACCAAATTAAAATAATAGAAAAATGATTTCATTATTTCAGTCTATGCTTATGATTAGCATTGCTATCATTGAGAGTATGTTTGTCATTGAATATAATTTATCTTAATTCTTTATAACATTATTTGATTTAATAGTAAAATGCATTTGTCGTTATCCAACCCTTAATGACGCTGAATCAGACCAAAAGTGTGTTATGGGTCTCAATAAAGCGATTGCTGGCTATTCAGAGGCAGAGCTGATCCAAACGATTCAAAACAACTTAAATCAATGCCAGACATTGATTATGAAGAGAAGCCAAACGTCCAAAGATATGGGTTTCAACTGTTATTACATGTTTAACGTTAACTATACTCAAGGGTTGCAACAAATCCTGGGAACCGATGCTTTAAACACACAACTCAAAGGTATAAGTGATGGAAACCAAAGACTAAAAGGTGTCAGAGCTTTGGCCGAAATCACAAACCATATGCTCTGCGATGAAATCGGGTTCAGAAATAATCATCGAAACGATTCGGTCGAGTGTTTGCTTTACGAAAAGCTGGGAATCGGAACCGAAGTAGTGCTGGAATTCCAAGGATTGGATGCAATGATGATTGGATGGCAATTAGAGGAGAATATTAAGAATCCAATCGTCGGCAAAGTTGTCGGAGATGTGAGTAAAATGTGATTTTATTTGTATATTTTAATGGTTTAAAAATTTTATTATATTTAACCTAAAGATCGAGAATTTGTATAAACAACTGTTTGCCGGATCTCAAGAATGTGTGCAGAGCTTGAGAGGCAACGAATATTGTCGTAATGTTAAGGTATTTAAGTGGGAGTGGTGTCGGAGGTATGACCTCCTCTTCATTCGCCCAATTATTCCCAATTCCAACATCTGATCTCGTCTTCAAACTTGCGGTTTAATCATTTAATTGATTCAAAAATTGTTGGTTTTTCAAAATAAACTAATATTAAAATTACTGTATTTACAGTAATTTAGTATTTTTAGAACCAAATTTATTTAAGATATTAATTGCAAATAAAAGTTTTCAAACTCTTTAAGACTGTTATTAATTAAAACAATTTCCTTTAATTATTGATCAATAAATTACAATTTAGAAGTATTTTCTACAGTAATAACTTTATTGACCGTCAATTGTCTGATGTCTTATTCAGAGTATCCGTATTTCGTGAGCACTTGTTTTGTGTGCAAACAGTCGTTCACATCGTTATCGTTAAACTAATTTTAGTTTGTTTTCAGTTATATAACTGTCACTCGTTTTTGAGTATTTTTAGTTAAGTTTTAAAAACTTAAATAATTGCTCTGATATTGGCTTAACTTAAATATTAGACACATTAACAATATATGAATGACTGGCAATATATTAGGCATCAATTTTATTCAAATATTTTCACAATTTCTTTACATTTTTTCAGTAAACTTAAGTTAAAGCCTTTCCCATAGCTTTAGGCACTAAATATCTAGTCTAATAGTTTAGTCAATTTTAGTCAATGTAAGAGTTGATAAAATTCAAAATATTCTCACATTAACACAATCTCTATATGAAAATGAGATTTTAATTGAGACATGTTATTATATATTAATTTTAATAATCAATATTTCATCACATTTTTGCGCACCTGATAGTGATTGACAATCACTGATTGTGAATATTTCCAATCATCTCGTATTTTGTCTCACTATATAAGAATCGATCCCACGTTAATATTTGCCATTTGATGTTTTAATTCAATGTGTGATCACATCAATCCCATTAACTATTAAGTATTAAGGTCTGGACGGGTTGACAATTATTAGTCATGTGGACTTCACCACTATCTGTGATCTTAAAGGCCAGTCCATCGCCCGCTTGCGGTGCGTTCGCCAAGTCTTTGATTAGAACCCAATACTCGGATCTATTAATACTATTACTAATAATAGCAATGATTTGCCCGAAGATCCGCACCAACTGTTGGATAGATCTGAGAATTGGGTTGTCATCAAAGACGCGGCGAACGCACCGCAAGCGGGCGATGGACTGGCCTTTAAGATCACAGGTAGTGGTGAAGTCCAGATGACTAATAATCGTGAACCCGTCCAGACTTTAATGCACGTCGACTCCACTCAACAAATGTGGCTTTTCTTTGATCTCAACGGCAGTACTCCTAAACCGATAGTTTTAGGTAATTATTGTTTACTTCTGTTTCAATTTAATTTAAAGGCATTAAACTAATGGCATGTTTTGTATTGTTAGGCACTTGTGATAACAAAACGCCTGAAAATGTTGGCAATTGTGCACAAGTGATGGACTCTCGGAATAGCCAGCAAACGTCGCGTCCCATTACTACACAAAATAATGGTTTGACTGTAAGACTGGCCCCAAACTCGTCGAGTTCTCCCAAATTGAACAACACTAACAGTAACTCCGGTATGTTTTATATTAAATTGATGTTTAAGTTATATTTGACTAAATTGTTTATATTGTTTCTATAGAGCCGTTGAATGCAATGGGAAATGAGTGAAATGTTTGCCACCAACAGCCCATTAATAGCGTATTAAACATGTGCGGACACGTGTGTATGTGTTACGAGTGTGCGGTCAAGCAATGGCGAGGGCCCGGGTCGGGACAGTGCCCGAAATGTCAGGCCGTCAGTCGAGGTGTGATTCGCATAAATTAGAAATCGGAGTTTTTTTATTAATATATTGAATGTTTTTTAAGTTCTTATTTTAAAAGTTTCTTAAATGAAAATATGTGAATGAATTTTTGTGATTATATTTTCATTAACCATTTGATTGTGAATAACGAGTAGTAATAAATCAATTGTGAACTGATTTCACTCACAAACCGCTTAATAAAATACTTTGTTTTTAATTTCAAATATATTTTTCTCATATTAATTAAATTATTTGTATAAATTTTTTGAATGTTTTTTTAAAGTTTAAGTACTGTATTCTTTATAACCAAATTTATTTAAGATGTTAATTGCAAATAAAAGTTTCAAATTTTTTAAAGACTTTTTTAATTAAGACATTTTCCTTTAATTATTGATCAAAAAATTACAATTTTGACATATTTTCTACAGTAATAACTTTATTGGCCGTCAATTGTTTGATGTCTTGTTCAGAGTATCCGTATTTCATGAGCACTTGTTTTGTGTGCAAACAGTCGTTCACATCGTTATCACTCGCAACCGGTTTGGCCGGAGTTCGGGACAGAATGGGCGCCGGTCTGGGCCTACCGTCCGGGAAAAATGAGTTGCGATCCCTATTATGGATGTATTGGTGAGCGCTCTGCAGATCGAGCACTGGTGTCACACAACAGTCCACTTTGTCAAACATCTCTGTCCACTCTTTTTGGGTTTTAGTGGCAAAAACTGCCGCAATTTTATCGGACAATTGGCCCCAATTTTGTAACTCATTTCTCTCGTAATCATTGATATCAAGGCCTAAAGTGTTGATAAACTGCTCGTAAAACTTCCACTCCTGTGCGGCCACTGCCATGAATTTATTGTCCAGAGTCCTATAGCACCGGTAGAAGTGGGCGCCGCCGTCCAGCATATTGCCCATCCGTTCCGTCGGTTGGCGCCAAACAATGCCTTTCATACCATAGTTGTCGTCCATTGACTCCCATATCC